TTTTTTTTTTTTTTGAGAGAGATTTTTGCCACAGGGCATGTGCATTCACAGGAAAGAGAGAGAGACAGAAAGTGAAACTCACCCCCCAGGGGTTTGGCCACATTGCAGTCCCTTCTCCTCCACTCTCCTCTTTGGATTTTGGGCACGCATGCACCTGTGCACAGCATGAGGTTCAAGCTGCCCAGTCCGGGACTTGAACAGAAGTCAACCATGTGGGAGTCTGGTGCTTTAACTACTCCTCCACCTGCTGACCCCACCATAGTCAGTCTTAGAACATTTCAGTCTCCCACCAAAGAAACCCCGTACCCGTCAGCAGTGTCTCCCGTCCCCGCTGCTCCCAGCGCCCATAGCCCGTCTGTAGAGATTCACCTCTGACATTTCGGAGTGGAACAGTCTGATTTCGCCGCCTCTCAGTTGGTGGCAAAGCTGACTCAGAGATCCCCAGAGAGGCCCACAAACCACATCCCAATCCTCCAGTTTCAGGGACTCTTCGTAACGTAGGGCTTGACAACAGAGGGGAAGGTCGATCCCTGCCAACTTGGACACGGCGTATCAGAGGTTGTGGCTGCTGTATCCATCAAATTTTCAGCACATTTGACAAAGAATTTAACAGCTTCTCTTTTGAGAATTATTGCAAAATTAAAATGTAAACCCTCTGCCCGTCTTTTATTTATCTTCCAGGTAGCGGACGGTCAGGAAATTTGTGTGATTGAAGCCATGAAAATGCAGAACAGTATGACAGCTGGGAAAACTGGCAAGGTATGTCCCCAGGCCCCCGCCAGCCCACTAGCTTTGTGACGGAAACAGAGCGTCACCTTTGAGTCATGCACGGTTGGGCCTGAAAGGGCCGGGGAGGTGACCCCTTGCAATTCTGCACGTTCCCACAGTGAGGCCACTGATGGGGGGAAGGGGGCGTTCCTGTAGCACCGCACCCTGGCCTTGGTGGAACGGCCTTCCCAGACCGCTGCATTCAGGTAGTCAAAGAACAATTGCTCTTTACTTTAATGTCTTTTAAATTAAGGGGTCTTTAATTTTTCATGTTTACATCTGTCTTGGAGGCAGTGAGTTATCTGAGGCTTACTCAGGTGCCACAGCAGGACAGAGTTTTACAGATTGCCAAAGTTAATGTAACTCTTCGAGATAATTTCTCCACAAAGAGAGCAGTTCCACTGTAGATCAACAGGAGCTGAAGCCTCTGCCCACATGGGGGACTTAAGGATTCAGGGAGAAAAAACGGAGAGATACATTAATGCTGAAATTTGTTAAGAGTAAAACTTCTTAAGTGTCTCTTTTCCTTGAAGCACATAGAAAAGCCCTTTTAAGCAGTAACTTAGAAGAATAACTTCAGTTATTCTTCCTGTGACTAAAAAGATACCATTTGCAGGAAAATGATCCTTTCCTGAAGGGTGTTTGGTCTGTGGTAGCTTGTGATTGGGGTAAGAAAAGCAGCAAAGCTGGCTGTGTCTTGTCCTGGGGCCACACCTTAGGGACATCAGGTGGAAGAGACACTTTCCGTTTACAACAGAGTTTGCATCAAAGAGACACAGCCTCTGTCCCCTGGTCTGTCACCCCAAAAGACAATGAAACCGTTTTGCAGAGAAAGGCCAACCGGGAGGGGCAGAGGCTCCTATGCGGTGTGGGCCTGGAGCCTCAGCTCGCTGGCAGGCACAGGGTGCAGACAGCCACTGTCTCTGTGGGATCTGGGACAGTAGGTGGCATGAGCTGTGGTTTTTGATGAATTCTTTCTGAATCTGATATCTTTTAATTAAAAAAAAACAAAAACTTTCTTTTTAAAGGTTTTTGCCATAGGGTGCATGCACTCTCCAGAAACAGAGAGAGACAGTGAGAGGGAAAGTGAGAAATCAGCCCCTAGAGGGGATGGCCCCACCACTATCCCTCCTCCTTCATTCTTCTCCTGGGATTCTGGGCATACACACACACACACACACACACACACACACACACACACCTGGCATGATTTTCAAACCGTCAAGTCTGGCACTCAAACCACAGTTGGCCAAGTAGAAGTCCAATACCTTAACCACTATACCGTAACCTGCTGGCACCTCTGGAAACTTACTAAAATGCAACTAAGAAATTGTTGCTTTCTGTTGATGTAAAAAACGTATTCTGTGTTCACCGAGATTACTTGACATTCATGCTGTGGTAGAGTCATGAAATTCCACCCTGGGATAGAACTCGGCCTAGCTGTGGACACTATCGGAGTGGGCCCAGGGTCATGTGTCCGGACGAAGTTGCTCATACAGAAGTGCCCTTTGAGCCCTGGAACCTGTCACTGAGCCTTATCTCATTGAGCTAAGGTTTCATGGGAGAGACTTAGCCACCCTCTCCCCATCAACTGCCCAGAGCTGCTTTTCAGCGGTGCTAGGGTCTGTACTTTGGCCTGATCCCTGTTAGCTGGAGTCTTTCCTGACTATTCCATCAGCTATTCTGCTGTCGCTGTGGGGTCCAGGACAGTAGATGGCATGAGCTGTGGTTTTTGACAAATTCTTTCAGAATCTTTTAATTAAAAAAAAAATAAATAAATAAATTGGGGGACCAGCAGTTGGCATAATGGCTATGTTGCTGGACTCCCATGTAGTCGATCGCGGTTCGATTCCTGGACCTGGTGCCTTAAACTCACACCAGGCACATGTACGTATATGCCCAAGATCCTGAGAAGAGAATGGAGGAGAAGGGATTGTGGCGTGGCCATCCCTCCTGGGGGTGATTTCTCACTTTCTGTCTCTCTGTCTCTGTCTTGTCTTTCTGGTGAGTACACGCACCCTATAGCAAAAATCTCTCAAAAAACAAAAGAAAAGAAAACAAAGTTTAAGGTTTTTGCCATAGGGTCCTTCCCCCATCTCATTCCCAGGCCTCTGATTCCAACTCAACAGGGCAGTGGCCCAAAGCCCCCTACACAGAGGGGCCGGCCCTAGTTGAACTTAGGGCTGCTGGGTCTTACCTGAGAAGGGCCGTTTTTCCTCCCAGAGAAAAGTTTCACAACAGAAATAGCCTCCACTGTAATAATGGCACCATCATTAAAACCACATTGCATAGGGTCCAGCAGGTGGTGTGGTAGTTAAGGTACTGGCCTGCCATGGGGTCGATCATGGTTTGAGTCCTGGACTCGGTGGCTTGAAACTCACGCTGGGTGCATGCCCAAAATCGTGAGAGGAGACTGGAGGAGAAGGAATTGTGGCGTGGTCACAGTCACCCTGGAGGGAGAATCCTTGCTTTCTGTCTCTCTGGCAACTGCACTCGCCCTACAGCAAAAATCTCTTAAAATTTTTTTAAAATAAACACATCATATCCAAACGTTGGAGACATCATGATCAGAAAAATGCAGCCAGTCGGTCCGAAGAGCATCTGCCGAGCAAGCCCTTGGACACCTTCATTGCGTAGGTTCACGTCGTTCTTCAGAACCCTGGGCTCACATAAAGACAAAGCCCCGCTAAGCCTGCTCCCCAGGGAGTTGTGGGGACGCGGCCGGTGCCCTGGCCTGGCTGTCACGGCGTTTTTCGCGTTTGCCAGTCGCCACACGACCGATTTGTTCTAGCCTGTCGTTCATTTCCATGTCCAAGCAAGAGCCTCCGAGACCTTGGAGGACTGCTCTTCCCCACCCCACCTCCCTCCCTGCTCATTTAAAATCGGAACACAAATTTAGGAGAGGAAACCTTCATTGAAACCGGAGGCATCTGTGGAATGAGAAGGCACAGTTCCGCATCCCTGTAGCATGCCACGAGGTGCAACCCACCAGCTTCTGGTATTCCGTTCTCCTTCCAGAGGAAGGTTATGGTGGGGCTGGGAAATTATTACCTGCTTTGACTGTCATGTAATTTTATCCTTTTCAAAAATACAGAACTAAATATGCCATTAATTTGGAGAGAACATTTCTGCCATCTCAAGCCACAGACAGAGTGGGAGGGTGGGTTTTAGAACTCAGCTGGCCTGAGCTCCTTAGGTTGGAGGTGCTGCCTAGACCCACGTGCACCCCAGACATGGTGCCAGTGAGCAAACCACGCCAAAAACTCCAGAGAGCATCCCTTGGGCTGACAAGGACAGAGGCGACAGGAGAGGGGCAGGTGATAAGTCACCACCTAACCCGGGCACACCGTCTGCTGGCTTGAGAGGAGCAGCTTGTTCCGTCTCCCTGGGCCGAGGGAGTCTCTGTTCATTTCCAGAAGCAGAGTAAGCAGAGTAGGGATTGCTCCCTCTGGTTCTACTGATAGTAATTTTTA